AGGGACATGAGTATTTAGAGTCAAACAGGCAGTTTTATATGATATCCACAATTAAATAAAAATCAGCTTCCCTGTCCCCACCCCACAAATCAGAGCCTGAACTCTAGTAATTGTTCCCTAAATATCAAACAAAAAGAAGCCAGGTGGAATACAGAGAAATGTGGAAACATCAGGGACACTGGAGAGGCTGGAATTATTTAGAGGTTTGTTCCCAGGTACATAATGGCAGATACTGTTGAGAAGACAAAAAAGACATCACAATGAAAAACATTTGTTAGAAGAACACCCACACTAAACTGACGGGAGAAGAGTGGTGTTTTCTTCCCTTATTTCCCTTTATTTCTCCTTTCTGCCCTTTGCCACAGTGCCTCTCAACTTGAACTGCACAGATATTCAGTGTGTCTCTGCTGATCTGAGTCTGCCATGCAGCGTGAACCTGCATCTTCCCTGAAGCATCTCCAGGGCTGGTGAGACGACTGGCCATGGTGAGGGCCCCACAGCCATGTGATGACGGACGGGCTGAAAGAGTGAGGGAGACCCCATGGGGAGGCTCTGAGAGAGAAGGGGAAGCCCTCAGTCACCCTCACCTGGAAGGGACAGACTCAGGAAGGCACCGGCTCTACTTGCTGAAATGTCCTCGCCCTAAGTGAGATGAGGACAGGTCAGGCAGAGTCTGGGGGTCAGGAGAGACCCCATTTACATCTGAAATGTCTGCAGGGAGCCTGGTTCCTGTCCTGGCCCCAGCCCGGGTGAAACCAAAGCCAGGCTTCTGGGGAGGGCAGTTCCTCTTCCTGTGGGGCTGCTTATGAGACAACCTCATGACAAAAAACACAGCTCTCAAACGTCCACACCCTGTGTGTCTGTCTGTCTTGCCCGGCACTGTGGTCTCATCCATCCGCTCAGCTGGGGCCAGTGAGAGGAGACACCATGACCCCCATCCTCACAGCCCTGCTTTGGCTTGGTGAGATTTGAAGAGGTGGAGGGGAGACCTTAGGCTGGAAGGGACCCCACCCCACAGCCAAGCCCTCGTGCATTAGGAGACCCCAGGGGATCAGCAGGCTCATCAGAGGAGAGGATCTGCTCACCTCTCAGGTGATGAGTCTCTCACAGTGAACTCTTTTCCAGGTCTGAGTCTGGGTGCCAGGACCCAAATGCAGGCAGGTGAGTCCCAGGTTCAACCCCCTCACTAGGGACAGGGGGCCACCTCAGGGCTGCTGGGTGTGGAGGACAGCAGTTCTGGGCTGACTGAGGGAGCCGTCTGGGAGGGTCATGGGGATGATAGGGGAGATCCAAGGGGTGGGGAATGT